GACATGAACCCCATCGAAAACATCTGGGCCATACTCGACCGGCAAGTTATGATACACCAAAAAACCAACTTCGAAGAGCGATCTACGCCAAGTTTTGAAGCAAGAGTGGGCGAAAATCCCACAACCTAAAATTGACGAGATGATTCTCACGATGCCCCAAAGGATCAACGAACTCCACGAAGCAAAAGGAAGATCTACTGGATATTAATTAAATTATAAATATATCAATGCATGTGAATATGATTGAAAATTTTAATTTTTCTGAAAAGGTGGTGTCTGTTTACTTGTGAGCACGCTGTGTATATATGCAGGTGTGTAATATTACATTAGAATAAGAGTGACAATAATTTAAGTCACACACAGATATATATATATTTATTGGCCGGGAATGGTCCAGTAACAAGAGTGTGAAATATCATTTCAACTATGCTTTGTTTGTCGTAGAGGAAGCGTTTCGCTCCATACACGAGCTAACCAGACCGTTTAGACTTCTGCCTACAACATAGATATTAGGTCGTCAAGAAATTAATGTCGCTTTTTTTAGATGAAAAAACCCGAACAATGTATATATCAAAACAACATATTTATTGAATGAAATAGTCTCAATTCTTATCGATGATGCTTTTTCATCCTAAAATCAGGTTATTATTGCACTGATTAAAGAAAACACTTGACTTTGAAGCAAAAAACGTGTCGATGTCCTCTTTAACACCTTCCACATTTGATGGTGTTGCAACGAAAGAAAACCATGGTAATCTGATGGTGCCATATCTGGAGAATATGATGGGTGGGGGAGAACTTACCAACCCAACTCTATAATCTTGTGTTGTGTCAAACGTGCCACATGTGGACGTGCATTGTCGTGGAGAAGAAGAACACCTTCCCGATTGACGAGTGAAGGGCGTTTCTAATGAAGGGATTGATTTTAACGTTTCAGTTGCTGACTATAGATCTCTGCATTAACAGTTCGCTGTGGATTGAGGAGTTCGAAATGAATTACTCCTTTGATGCTCCCCCAAATGTAAAGCATCACTTTCTGCGGATGGAGTCCAGGTTTTGGGGTTGGAAGTGGTTTTTGTCTCGGACTGAGCTTTTTTTCTTGACGTTTAATATTCGCATAGAGAATCCATTTTTCATCACCGGTGACAATTCTGTCCAAAAATGATTCACGCGCATTACGTGCCAGAAGAAACGAAACAACGTTGACACGTTGGAAACGATGATCATTAGGGAGTTCGTGAAGCACCTAAACACCTTCTTTAAGGAGTTTTCCCATATTCTTTAGATGTTTACGTATTGTTTCATGAGAGACATGCAATTTGAGGGCCATTTCACTAGTGTGTTGCCTTTGGGTTAGACTCAACAAGTGTATTCAGAGCATCAATATCAATTCCAACATGTCGGCCC